CTAGAGTGTAATTAATTTTTATGACAATGTTTTAATGAGACAACATTTTATTATTTTAAATTATTTGTACTCTTTTTTGACATTATATTCCATTGAATTTTTATCAAACGAGATTTCATTGAAATAGTTATTGTATAAATAGTTATTCACTGGGAAGTTTTATAAATAAAATAGTATTTGTGAAAGACGACTAATACCTGTAGCGCAAGATTTTATTACTATTGTATCTCATGTAGCCTAAATTTTACGCTATAAATATGAGACTTTATTTTTTTATGAAATATATACAAGTCCATTGACATTTTTTCTTTCTTCTCTTTTTTTGCTCTAGTTTATAACATTTATTACAGTATTATTGAAATCATGTATTTGTCAAAAAGGTTACAACTTACAATGCCCCCTTAAAATCCATTTTTCCTTTAAGAAGTTGGCCCTAATTTCCACTTTTGATTTTTATTGGGCTATTAAGGAGAATCCTCCGAATAGCCCGTAGGCTGTTTTGGGCTTCAGCATTGGTCAAGCCCATAACAGTCATTTTAAGCCCTAATTCTAAGGGTTGTGCTATGGATACATTAATGGTGTCCATAATGTACACCAATCATTATTCTAATTCTAATCCAGACCGCTAATTCTCATAGGTAATTTGGGGTTTACAGCAATCACATGAACATATTTTCTTGATTGAAAAATTAATCAAAATAATAAGGCAATCCATCTTGTTTTAGTTTGGAATTAGACTAACTGTATTCAAGCCGGTTCAGAAAATTGATCGGCTATGGTGAGCAGGCAATGCCAAGCTTAATCGTCCAACTCGATATCCCTTAGCCCATTTTTGAATCTCATTTCATTATATTCCATTTTTATCTTTTATTGTCAATCACATAATTATCCATAAAATAGTATTGCATGTAAATCGAAATTTTTTTTCTTGTTCAACCACTCATTTCTCTAAAAAACATTATTCCACCGATTTTCATTTCCTAAAAATGGGGCCAAATAGGGGCAAGGCAACTAGAATAAAATCAAAGGACGTTACTGTGTGTACAAAAAATATACACACGAAACAGATACAGAATAGACACAACAACAGGGTGGGTGAGTTTTTTGCATTATTTTAATCAATGCCTCAACGTGAGATTTCTGTAGGTTTTCAGTGAAAACATTGTCTATACACATGAAAAAATTTAAAATCAAATAACCGGAACAATTTGGGTTGGTTCAGTTTCATTTCATATTTCGGGTTGGTTCACTTCAATTTTTTCTAAAACAACGCGACGACGAAGAGACGCCGCTGCTTGAAAATAATTGCCCTAAAACAAACGACCTACGCATTTCACTGTCATTGCACCGACGGCACAGTCCGATGGCGGCTATTTCATGTCACCTCTCCTCCGTCTCCTCGCCGGACTCAGTTTCTCTCTCTTCAGCCTCGTCACTCTCTCGCTACGTCCATACCCTTCGACGATTTCCCGGCGTCGGTTTCTCGTCTCCGGCAATCTGTCGACGAATCTCCTGCCAGACGGTCTCTTCTGCTCCTTCATCCTCTGTCGATGGAAAAGGTCAGTGATCCTTTCCTATTATTTTCTTTCTTTTAGCAGTTCGAATTACGCTTTTCTCGTTTGGATTTTTGTTGATTTTCTATAATATTTTTTAAATTTATTGGGTGGGATTTATTTGGTTTCTTGTTGGAAAATACCATACGATTAGAAAATCAAATGCGCTCGAAATCAGGATTCTGGGTTCACGAGACTGAAAAATAGGAAAACCTATGTTTCGAGACAAGTTTTGTTGAATGCTTTTATACGTTTATTTGTTTTGTTAGAGATGTGTATATGCTATCATCTTTGTTAATTAACTGGAACTTCTAAGCGTTTTGGCTATATGTTTTCCTACTCGTAGAGTTCCAAAAGTAAAGAGACAGTTATTTTTGAGAAGTATAATATAAAATGAAAATTTGGATTAATGACATTTTGTTCTGGTTGGAGCTCAACTTCAACCATAACTTAGCTAAATTACTCTCTGGAACTTGCACCAGCTGAAGCCAACTGATTGATAACCAATTCAAAGAAGAAAAATAGAAATTGGGGTGGGGAAAATGATGATAAAAAGCGAAGACAACATAGAATGCAGATTGAAAGAAGAAGAAGAACGGAGAAGCAAAGAGAAAGGGGGAATTCGGTTTTGCACCAAAGCTTTCAATATTCATCGTTCTCTTCCAAATGCAGAGATTCAACTATATATAGACCTAAACAACTATCCTAAAAGTAAAGGGCTTGGGCTAGCGCACTAATAACACAAGCCAATTAAATAAACTAAAAGTAAATGGTCCAATCCATGACACATTTTTAATGTTGTCATGACAATTATGAACTGAAGTATAAGATTTCAAGCACTTGCTTAGAAAGCTTAAGTGTTTATTCACCCAAATTTCTTTGCATTGATATTTATGATGAAGTGAATATTAAGGTCTAACGTTCAAGGAATATCTTAACTGTAACTTGTGCCATGACTTTTTGCACATCATAGTTGAGAACTTCTCAACTAAAGTCCTGCATAACATAGAAACGGGCAACTTTAGCTTACTGTTTAACAGAATTTCCACATTCTTTTGCAGAGTATTTTAATTGAAATCGAGGATTCATGTTACTAGGATTTTCCTTTCGATTTGTAACTTTTACGCATTCGTATTTCAGCGAAGGCAGGTCCCAAGGATTTTTTGCACATTGATGATTTTGACAAGGACACTATCCTAAGTATCTTGGATCGAGCCAAGGAGGTCAAAGCACAGATAAAATCAGGAGACAGGACATATCTCCCATTCAAAGGGAAAACAATGGCAATGATATTTGCCAAACCATCCATGAGGACACGAGTTTCATTCGAGACCGGGTTTCACTTGCTTGGTGGCCATGCCATATACCTAGGTCCTGATGATATCCAGATGGGTAAGAGGGAGGAAACTCATGATGTTGCTCGTGTCCTGTCTCGCTATAATGATATTATTATGGCTCGAGTTTTTGCTCATCAGGTATGCTGGTGAGTTCTCTTGTTAAAAGTTGTCTTCTTTTGAGTGCCTGTAACTTAAAAGATTCTTTCAACTTCGGTCTCATGAAGACTGAAGGCTTACCAAATTAAGCACACATTTTGTGTTTGAAGCACTGGCTTATTCTGTGCTATAAAATATGTGCTTGGAGGTCCAATTTTTTGGTCATTAGATTTGAATCTTGTCCTAAGCAGTCAAGGATAATATATTTTCTTCTGATTGGGCTTACAGTTTCATTAAGCCTGGGTGGTTCGGCGCCACAAGTTCTGGCTGGTTTTATTGTAGTCATAGGATAGAACCATACCTATCTCTAGATATCTGAGTTGAAGTCTTATTTGCTTTAGAGGTTGTGTTTTTCGATAATGATATTATATATGTGTGTTTTAAATCTTTTGCAGGACATTCTAGATCTTGCTAAATATTCAAGCGTCCCAGTGATCAATGGTTTGACAGATTTCAACCATCCTTGTCAAATAATGGCTGATGCGCTCACGATAATTGAACATGTTGGTCAACTGGAAGGAGCGAAGGTTAGCTTATATGCAACCAGAAGAGATACTTCCTTTTTCCCTCCTTATTTATTAAAATTGCTGAACATTCTTTACTGGGATCTTGGCACTTCAGGTTGTTTATGTTGGAGATGGAAACAATATTGTTCACTCCTGGCTGTATTTGGCATCAGTTGTTCCTTTCCATTTTGTGTGTGCTTGCCCTAAAGGTTACGAGCCGGATGCAAGGACAGTTAAGAGAGCACTAAAGGCTGGAGTTAGCAAAATTGAGATAACTAACGATCCAAAAGAAGCTGTTAAAGGAGCCGATGTTGTGTATTCAGATGTTTGGGCCAGCATGGGGCAAAAGGAAGAGGCTGAATATCGCCGTCAAGTGTTTCAAGGTTTCCAGGTACTCCTAATCTTTCATGCATTTAACTTAGATTTGACATTTGTGAAAATGAGACTTCAACAAGCAAGAAAGATCATTTTGCTGGATATGGGTTTCACTTAGATACATGATAAGTTGTAGCACGTGCTTTTGAGTATTTTTTTGGGCTCCATAGGAACACAACATTCATTTGGCAGCAGAAAGATTCTTGGTTGAAATAATAATGAACTACAATTAATCATCAATTGGTATTGTCTAGAAGTCCTGTATTGTCCGATGGTGTCCAATACGTGTATTTGATACATCTTATCTTGAATTGAACTTGACCCTCAATCAATGCATATAATTATTTGCAGGTGAATGAAGAGCTAATGGAATTAGCAGGTCCAAAAGCTTATTTTATGCATTGTTTACCAGCTGAAAGAGGCGTGGAGGTTACTAATGGGGTCATTGAAGCCCCAAACTCTATTGTCTTCCCCCAAGCTGAGAACCGGATGCACGCACAAAATGCAATCATGCTTCACGTCCTTGGGTTATAATTGTTAGTGGCTTTATTTATTATTAGTGGTTTCTTTTGCATTTTCGTTTCATTTTGGCGTTGAACCATTGCAGAACTGTTCGTGTTGCTATGAACTTGGATGAAACCCCATAATTGAGCTATTAATTTGTAAAGCTGTTCAACTTATATATTATCATTTGAAAATTGTATACAAGTAAACGAAATTTAAGATTATATATACTCGATATGGGTGCATTAAGGTCCTGTTTGATTCCCTTTTTTTTCAAAATATATTTTTCTTTCTTTTTCTTAATCATACATTCTTCAATAAATAATATTACGTGTAAATTCAAAACTTTTTATTCTTTTTAAGTCAAACATTTTTCATAACATCATTATTTCAAAATACATTTTTTACAAGAAATGGACATCAAACAGGCTCTAAGATAATATATCTTTTAGTGACTTCATGTTGTGTATGTCTACTTTTGGAAAAGTGTGTGAACGGTTTAAATTATAAATAAAGAGTAATGAGTGGTGGATAAGTGGATAATCTTTGTGAGAATGTGAATAAAAAGTGATTTGAGTGTTTATTCACATGAGCTAAACATAAGCTAATTATTTAATACGCTAGTGGAGTTAATTTTGTTTTGGTTATATATAAATAAATTGAAACAAAGTATTTACTTTTTAAGGGCATCTACAATCCAGGTAGGAGGTGGCAATGGGTCGGGCTAGACATTTGGCACCTGTCTAGTGATCAAGATTTTAAACAATTTTTTAGCATTGGTAGCTATGGGCTCATTTTGTACCTTGGATGAGAATTTATTAAGAAGCAAGTTTTAAAAAATAAAAAATAAAAATGAAAAGGGGTTAAAATCTTGTGAAAATGGTTTTCCAGACGGGCTTTAGCTCGATTTGAGTCGGTTCATGGTCAAATTTCATGATAGGTTCGTGGGCCTTACCAATTGAATCGTCCACGAGCTCAATTCCAAACGAGCCAATCAAGTTGCTCAAAAGCTGGATCATTTTTTTTTTATATATATAAATAAGTAAACAGATAAATAAAAAACAAGCAATTTTCAAGGAAAATAATAAAACAAGTTAAAAAATGAGCAAAAACAAATTGAGCCCAAATAAGTCAAGCGGGCTCAACTCATAATAAAAATTTGATCACAACTCTGATCATGATCCTTTTCAATTTGAGCCCGAGTTGTACATGAGCGATCGAGGCAAGCTCACAAGCTGCTCAATCCATCTGCCACCCCTAAATTCATGCAACGATTTGGTGTAAAAAAATAAAAAAAATAAAAAATAAAAATAAAAAACTCTAACTCTAACTCTAACTCTAACCCAACACCAAATGAGTGTAATGACCGTATCGCAAATCGTAAATAACAATCAGAAAAATCGAAAATTCAACAATATTTTACAAATCAAAATATGTTAAAATTATCGTATTATCTTCCTTAGGGTCTTTTACGTTAGAGATTGACCAAAAAAAAATAAAAAAGATGGCCGGGAAACAACGAGAAGATGTGTACGAACAAATCCATCTTGAATATTAACTTTTTCTTTTCCTTGTTCATTGGTTATAGGCCAGTTATAGTTTTTCAACATTTGAGTGCATAAATCAATTTTTGTTTCGTTTATTTGTTGGTTATAGTCTTTAAACTTGTGTTGAAAAATATATATTTTTCCTTCTTAAATCTTGTGTCCTTCATCTTAATAAAACAATTCTTTCAAAAAAAGGTTCTTGAAATAAAATGAAATATTATACACATAATAAAATATGTGCTTGTTTGATAAAATTAATATTTTATCAACTTTCTACACGTCAAACTTTAAATTTATCGCACATTTTGTGAAATCACAACTTTTTTGGTGTCCTAAATGTTGAGGTGGCGATATTTTGGTGAGATCTTGATTCAAAATCTCACAAGATACAGCCTGGCCAAGGAGCTGGTGCTCGCATTGATCATTGTGGTTAGAAAACTGAGACCATACTTTCAATCCTACATGGTGCAGGTAATGACCGACCAGCCTGTTAAGTAGATCGTACATTGACCAGAAACTTTGCGAAAGCTGTTGAAATGGATAATCAAGTTGAATGAGTTTGATATCAAATTCAAGCCAAGAACAGCTATTAAAGTGCAGGCTCTAGCAAACTTCATCATCGAGCTTACCACCTCACCTAAGCAGTCAACGGGATAACAGACAAATTGAAAAATTTTTGTAGACAGATCCTCGAATGGCAAGGGATCTGGAGCAGGGATTATAATAGTAGGGCTGAACTTCGAAGGGTTAGAATACTCGTTAAGCTTCGAATTCCCAACTAAAAATAACGATGCTGAGCATAAAGCAGTGATCACAGGCCTAGGCCTGGCAGCCGGACTGGAAGTGCCTTCGGTAGGATTTGTTGCGACTCTCAGTTAATAGTTGGATAGGTGAACAGGCAAGCCGAAGTAACAAATCGAACCATATTATGGGATCGAAAAACAAGGTTGGAGAAAGAGAAAGACCTTTGAGCGGACTAGTTGCCCAATGTACTATGGGCATACCATACAAACCCATGGGAGCCAACTGGCAAAATGCCTTTCAAATTGTCTTTGGGAATGGAAGCAATTGTTCCCATTGAAATCTTAAGTGAGACAAGCATAATGAAAGTTAAGCAACTCGATGTCGCGACAATCATGGCGAAACTCGACTTGCTCAAGGGGGTAAGAGAGAGGGTGGCTATAAAGATGGTAGCTTACAAGCGAAGGGCCACTGAGTATTTCAACTGACGGGTAAGACCAAGAGTTTTCAGCCAGGAGATTTTGTGCTGAAGGAAGCAGCAGCGTCAGGACTCCCTCCACCTAAGCTCGAGCCAAATTGGGGAATGACCATATGAAGTGATCCATAGCCTTGGAAAATGAGCTTACAATCTAAAAAATATGAAAAGAAAACCACTAGACAGGCCATGGAACTCAGGGCATCTCAAAAAATATTATCAGTAGGCTCGTCAAGTAGAGATATAAGTCATATTCTATGTAAATGCGGTAGATAGGTTACTTTGTTAATTTCCCTAATGCTATAGGCACATTCCATTGTAATTATTGATGTTATCCAATGAAGGGTCTAGGTGGTGATAGATGATGAGAACACTAATGAAAAGCCAGCTTAGTTGGAACGTCCCAGTGTGCCTTTTGAGCTCCTAAGCCAAGCAATTTATACGTCAATATGTGGTTTTAAACCCCTCTGTAAACTCAATAGTGCTTAGCTTCAAACCTAAAAATTTAAGACTCTAAACCAATAGACCTTGCACTTTATGGTCAGCATAGCTCAATGGGCTAGGCAGAGAGCCTTCAAAACCAAAAATTGGTTAAAGTCCTAAATTGCTAGATTTTGCGCTCTACAGTTGACATTACCTGAGGGACTAGGTGGAGAGCCTTCAACACCAAAAATTGGTTAAGGCTCTAAACCACTAAACTTTGCGCTCTACGATCGATACAGCCTAAGGAGCTAAGCAGAGAGCCTTTGAAATCAAAAGTTGGTTAAGGTCCTAAACACCTAGACCTTGCGCTCTATAACTTGACATAGCCTAAGGGGCTTTGCATTCGACATTTCCCAAGGATGACGATACCAAATAGTCAATTAAGGATCGACAAATGAATTACGAAAAATGAAATTGTAACACAGACTTGCGGCCACTGCCTGCATTTCGACTGCGCAACAATCAACCTATGCCTGTCGATCGTTGTGAGGCCGGACATGCCATCACCGATTGTTGCATGGGGTACTTTTAAATTTGGGCAAGTCAAGTAGTCATTTTTACACTTTAACCAAAAAGTTTGCCAATCATCAAAACGGCATTTTGTTGAGTAAAAGATAAAAATGTCTTTAAGTAGTTTATATAATTACAAAAATAGAATTTTGTTTCAAAAGACAAAAATACCCTTACAAATTGAAAAACCAAACAATTTTCACTTTATATTTAATTATTTATTTTAAACAATTGCTCAAATAAAAAATTAATATTTAATTTACTTTCTTGTTTAAATATTTCATTAATTAATTATCTTAATTGGTTTTGTATATTATTTATTTAACATTTAATTACTTTATTTAATTATTTATTTAATCACTTGTTTAAATAAAAATTTAATATTTAATTTGATTTCTCCTTTAAATATTTCATTAATAATTATCTTTAATTGACCCTTATTTAATTATTTATTTTAAACACCTACTCAAATAAAAAAATTAATATCTAATTTGATTTCTCGTTTAAATATTTCTCTATTAATTACCTTAATTGGTTATGTATATTGTTTATTTAATATTAATTACTTTATTTAAATAATCACTTATTTAAATAAAAAATTAATATTTATTTTAATTTCTTATTTAAATATTTCTTTAATTAATTGTCTTAATTAGTTATGTATGTTATTTATTTATTGTTTAATTACTTTGTTTAATTATCTATTTAATCTCTTAATTAAATAAAAAATAAATATTTAATTTAATTTCTTATTTAGATATTTCATTAATTAATTATCTTAATTGGTTATGTATATTATGCATTCAAAATTTTAATTGCTTTATTTAATTATTTATTTAATCACTTATTTAAATAAAAGAATTAATATTTATTTTAATTTCTTATTTAAATATTTCATTAATTAATTATATTAATTAATTATCTATATTCTTTATTTAATATTTAATTACTTTGTTTATTTATTTATTTAATCAATTATTTAGATATTTCATTTATAAATTATCTTAATTGGTTATGTATATTATTAGTCATTAATATTTAATTACTTTATTTTAATTGCTTATTTAAATAAAAATATTATACCATAATGTACAAGTGGCATAATATTATTGGAGAGTTGAAAAACAGTTTTTTCGATCCTTCACTCTTGAAATTTCATATGTACATTATGAACATCCTTATGAATTAGTACATGTAGAATTATCCAAAATTTAATTTGATTTCTCATTTAAATATTTCTTTATTAATTACCATAATTGGTTATGTATATTTAATTACTTTATTCAATTATTTATTTTAAAACTTATTCAAATAAAAAATTAATATTTAATTTAATTTCTTCTTTAAATATTTCATTAATTAATTATCTTAATTGGTTATTTATATTGTTTATTTAATATTTCATTACTATATTTAATTATTTATTTAATCACTTATTCGAATAGAAAATTAATATTTAAATTTAATTTA